GCTATCAGATTCTTACTTGTGTATAAACAAACCTCTTCAGTTGCTTGAAGTTGACGAAAGTTCAAGACTTGGAAGCCTAGGTCCTGATTCCATAAAAAAACAGCACGTTTTGATGCTGTCGACTATAAAGGGATTAGAGATAGAAGCCTTCCTGTTCCTCCTGAAATAGCCTCTCGGGTTACCTAACATTTAGAAAGTCACTCCGAGGAATGCACCGCTCTTCTGGCTTCTGCTTCTCCATATCGAGATTTAGACGATCTTAATGTTCCTGAATGGCCCGACGTTTGGTAGAAGAATAATTGACAAGGGATTTCCATTTCTCTACTAGCCTTTGGGATGGAGCTCTCTTATCTCCAGTGAGACTGACTTTTGAGTGTTTGAATACTATTGAGAACCTAGAGCTTGCAGGTGTGTACAGAATGAAAAGTGAGCTTTGCTCCTAAACTGGCTCAGAGTTTTCCAAGCTTTGTTTGGTCAAACAAAGTACATGACTATGATAGCATCAGCAAACTATCCCACTCTTAGCGTTCCTTTTTCGCTCTCAGTCTTTAGGAATGGAGTGGTAAGTCGTACAAAATGGAGACGGGCATTTAGTTTCAGATAATTAATTTGCAGTGTGCGTACGTTTTAACAAACCACTTTTAAAAGAAGTCTTTGAGAAAACATTCATACATAATATCCTTGTTTGAAGAGTCAAAAGAAACAGATTTAAACCCAGAAGAACTTGTTCCGTGAAAGAAAAAATGAGGTAATAAATAAAATTTCTTATCATTTGCTATTATATCTTGATTGTAACTGTGAGGTCTGAGTCTATTTTGAGGTCTGTCATGCGTGTCGGTTTGGCCTCTGCTTCAAAATTCTCAAAATTTAGAAAGGCTTAGGCATCTTGACCGGAGAAAAATACCGAGTCTGTTGTGTTCATATTTGGAATCAATTCTAGACTTTTGGCTTGCCTTTGGCAACTTGGTGTGTTCTCGTATGTGTAAAGCCATGGTTCCTTCCAGTTTTTCCTTTCTTTCAATACTTGTATTTCTTGTGTTATAAGTTATAACCATCATGGATAGTTTCACATTCAATTCAGGATAGTTTTCCAGAGTGTCTCACAAGAATTGTGAGTTTTCCTTTCCTCCTTCCACTGCCTCGTACGGTTCAAACAACTGTTCATTCAGAACTGCTTTTTAATCATAAATTGACAGTAAGCTGCAACACTTCCTCGTGTTCATAAGAAGCATGAGATTGCTTGAGCACTATCTATCCAAATTGTTGTGTTGTAATCTGGCAGTATGTTGACAACCTTCTTTGAGAAATTTGATAACATAGCTTATGAAGCTTAATTAGATATCAAATACATAAAAACAGAAATAATGGTGTGGATGGTGCTACTAATATAACCACAAAGTAATTTCTGGCAATAAAAGCTATTCAAAGCCAACCAGGGATAAAAAAAACCAGACAAAAACCTTGAAAGCCTTACCATATACACGCTCCCTTACACTCATTGTATTCTTTATTTTATTGTATATTTTTTCTCTACACACCTGTTGATTTAAATACTGAATAGTTTTTTTTTATTTTTCATGACACTTATTTTCACGGGAATAGCTTATCAACCCAGTCTTACCAGTCAGTTTGTCTGTATACACGCACCCCTTTTTTTTTGTGTAATTTTTATTTTTTTCTCTCGAATTCATCAGAATTTAACCCTGAGTTCCATGGCTTCTACAACACTTGTCAACATGTCGTTTGTCGTGGAAACCAATGTCAAAGATTTTGCTCCTTTTTTGGCCTGCAAGAATCGGAACCAGATCTACATGCAAATATATTAAGTGCAAGACACCTAGACTATTTAGAGATTAGTTTATTATACAAGGCTTTGTTACATAAACAATGACCATACCTTTACCTTGGCAGTTCTATACACTCGATCGAGACATGAAACTGCGGGGTCGTGGAGGTGCAGAACTGCACTCTTCGTTGTATTGAAAACGAGTGTTTATGTCCTGACGCGAAGAAAAAAATTGCTAGAATGAATACAATAAATTTAGGAGATTGGTGATTGAATCAGGATTCGAGAAATAAAGAAAGAAAAAAAAAAAGTAAGAAATGACAGCTTTTTTTAAAAAAAGAGTACAGTGACTTGACAAGACAGTCCAAAAGTACCTTACCTTGCAAATGTAGGGTTAAAAAAACCTGGTTTTGCTCGTTTAACATGGCTGCGGGTGAACGTTAATAAACGTTTGCTAATCAAAATAAAAGTGCTTTTAGGGGGTAGGATCGTCATGGCACCGCAGATTTCGGAGAAGCTGCGTATTTAGCTGCTTCTCGTCTGGGAAAAACATCAACAGTGGAGCATGGCTCCACTGTTGCACTGTTTATTAAAGTAAATATTTTTTTAATATAATTTTAAAAAATTAGTGTTAATGAATTAATTTATTTATATTATTCACATAAAAAATTTATATTTTTTTAAAAAATTAGTACAGTTAATTAATTTCATTCATATTATTTATGTGAATATAAACAATTTTTTTGTTTGTTAAAAAAATAGTTTAAGATAAATTAAATTTACTCGTACTATAATCTCAATTTTATTCCTGATAATATTTTACTTAATTTTATTATATTTTTAAAAAATAATAAAAATCATAGTTCTTGTCAAGTGAATTTTGCATATGATGAAATTGTAATTTTTTAAAAAAAATTTGAGTTTTACTCGAAAAATTATTATTTAATAACACTACATAAATTAGAAAGATGTCACATGATGGCATAACACTTGTAAAATTTTATTGCAATTCTAATTATGTTCTTACAGAGTCCGACCCAGTTAAAAAAATTTAATTTTTATTTTTATTTTAATTGTGTTTTATTTAAAAAATCAGAAGGATATCACTTGATGATATAATAAAAAATTCAATTTTTATTGTGTATGCTTAAAAAACCATGAAAAATATAGTTATTATTTGATAGATTTCGTGATGATATTGGATATAGTTTAATAGAATAATAAAAAATATTTGATATCAATGTTATTTATTTTATGATATAATAATAGTAGTTAAATTTACAATATTTAAATTAAAAATATTTTTTAATTATATTATAATCTTAATTTGAAAAATATTTTTTTAACCAAATACATTAAACTATTCTTTATTCAACTTAAATCTCAACCGCAATTTTAACCAAACATATATTTTTTCAAACCAATTTCAACTAAAAATATTTTTTTATAAAATATTTTTTTTAAAACCACAACCACAACAATAACCACAATACCAAATACACTATCAACTTTTTTTAAAAAACAATCCTCAACTTTTTTTTGTGTTTTTCACCTCATGTTTTTTTAATTACTTTACTTTTTTTTTCCTAATAGAGTTTATAGATCTAAACCTTCATTTTATTTCTTTTTTTTTTTCCCTCTGTATTTGCCTGTAGCTATGATTTTTTAATTTCAAGAGCATGCTTATTTTTTTATTTAAAAAGTATTTTTTAAAAGAATTAAATTAAATTAAATTATTTTTTTGTTTTAAATTGATTTTTTAAATATTTTCACATAATTTTAATACGCTGATTCATAAATAAATTTTAAAAAATAAAAAATATATTATTTTAATATATTTTTAAATAAAAAATATTTTAATTGAAACATGAATGATTTCTAAAATAATTTTATTAAGGTGTTTTATTTGATTTCTAAAATAATTTTATTAAGGTGTTTTATTTTTTGTGAAATTCATGTGAATTCTACGAGGTTTGAAAGAGAAAAGTTGATGAACCATAACAAGATTTTTTTTGCATTTTGAATAACGTGTTAATTTTTTTGTTGTTGTAAAATTGTGTATTAACTCTCTTGTTCTTGTTGTGTTTTTAACAACGGTATAAAGGTGAAAAAACATACACCAAGAACGGAAGTTGAATAAATTTGGCTCAATCTATCAAGTTCTCCTGCAAAATACGAGGCCAGAAAAAATAGCTGCATGTTTTAGACAGTATTTAGTTTACTGGGCTGTACTGGATGTGTCTAATATTTTTTTTTAAATATAAAAAATATTATTTAGTTTAATTTAGTGGGATAACTCTGGAATCCATTCACCCACCCAAATATATAAATAAATTAAACTATATAAAAATTATTTTTATATAATTCAGTTAATTTTAAAGATTTAGTACTAATTTAAATAACTGATAAAAAATTATAATTTGACTTAATTTTTTATAGGAAGACATGTTTTTTTTACACATTAAAACAATAATATTCTAAATTAACTAAAATTTCATAACTTAACTAATTAAATTTACATCATGAATTTTATTGAATTTAATAATTTTTTATTTAATTTTACAGTAATGTAAATGCATAATTGTAAAATCAAATACAAATCAAATATTATAATTATTTAAAATTATGATAATTTAATAAAAAATCAATTAAATATCAAGATTGAAATTAAAATAAATAAATTAAATACAAACGTAAAATAAAAAAAAAACAAAAAAAAACTCCATTATACATAAGTGAAGAAGGTTAGTGGTGATTCAGTATTTTTAGTACTAGTATAGTGTAATAAAAGACAATACATTGATTAATTAAAAAATTATATAACTTACTAATCTTTTGTTTCTTAAATTTAATTTATCAGTAATTTTTCCAATTTAAATTTTCACACGCCAAATTCCTTGTTCGCGTACAAATATTTCAAAATATGATTTGAGCTAACACGGATATATTTTTATTTTATAGTTAGTCATGTGATATTCCCTGATTTTTTCTGAATAAATTTATCTCTCCAGCGACCTTTTCCTTTGTCTAATTTCCCATTCCAGCCCGAATCCCCTTTACCTTTTGCTCTTGAACAAATCCCTCATAATTAAAATTAAAAACGAATTAACTATTAAAAAAATTCAAAACGAATTAAAAGATATTTTGCAAATTTTCAGATTCAACGTTGTTCCATTATATATATACATACATGCACGCGCACACTTTTAGCATCCAATCCCCGACGCAAAGAACAGAAAGCGCAAAAATGAAAGGAAGAATGAAAGAAAAGAGACGCCCCTCCCCCCACACCTTTCTGTAAAAGCTCGCTCACAACACCAAGCCTTACTTATAACGTCTATATATCTCTCTCTCTCAAAAATAAAAAAAGTACAGAGGGGGATAAAAACTCTATTTCCACTGGACGAGGAATATCGATGTCTTAAACAAGATCTACACAGTAGTTACTACTAAATTAAGTTTAATCAAAGAGATTAATAGCTGTTAGGTTTTTGTTAAAAATGGCATCCACCTCGCAGTCCCTCCGTTTTCTGGTTGGGCCTGCAACCACCGGCCCTGGTGGTGGCAGTTTTGACGCTCTTAATCGCATCCTTGCCGACCTCTGCATACGCGGCAACCCTAAGGTTTCGCTAAATCTCTCTCGCGTTAATTTCAGTGAAGTTAATTGTCGTGTAGTTTTTTTTTGTTCAATTAGTGATCAGTGATAGAGTTACTAGAAGTAAGCAAAGCTAATTTGAATTAGGTATTTGTATTAATTACTAATTGAGTTACTATAAATACTAGAAATCAAGAAAGATGAAAGTGGAAACGTGAGTGCGTTGAGTTATGCGTTTTGTTGTCTTTTCTTTACTAAATTAATTTTCCTGGTCTTGAATGGAGGGATGTGTTTCTTGTCAGGTTTTTTTGTTTAATTAGTTATTCGTGATAGCTTTAATACCTGGTAGAAACTGGTACAAAGAATTTTTAACTAGGCATTCGTATTTAATTACTAACCAGTGTTGAAGTTATGGAAAGACCACAACAGAAAATGAGAGTTTTAGGCTTTTTTATTGTACTTGTTTTTTTTTTAAGTTAAATTCTTGCATGATTTTGATGGTGAAATGCTCGTGCTGTTATGTAAAAGGAGGGCGCAACATTAGCATTGAGAAAACATCTAGAGGAAGAAGTGCGAGATCTAAGCGGAGAAGCATTTCCACGCTTTATGGATCATTTATACGAAAGAATCTCTAGTTTATTAGAAACCAATGAGGTTGCTGAGAATTTGGGAGCTTTACGAGCAATTGATGAGTTAATAGACATAGCACTTGGAGAGAATGCATCCAAAGTGTCTAAGTTTGCTGTTTATATGCGGAGTGTGTTCGAGGTAAAACGGGATCTTGATGTGTTGACACTTGCTAGTAGAGTTCTTGGCCATCTGGCTAGGGCTGGTGGAGCAATGACTGCGGATGAAGTGAAATTTCAGGTTGGTTAGGCCTTATTTGGCTTGATTGTGTTGTTGTTTGTGTGGTGTCTGATATTTTTGGTTGTGTTAGGTTAAAATGGCACTAGGTTGGCTTCGCAATGATAAAGCAGAATTTCGCATTTTTGCTGCCGTCTTAATTTTAAAAGTAAGTGTGACTTACTTTTCCTTTCCTTTTTTTCTTGTGTTGACAAATTAGCTGCACAGTTTTTTTGTTATTTTATTGATAGTGTATTTTTTTGTCCTTCTGATGATGTTGGAAAGACCGTCTCATGCCATCTTAAAGACTTCTAGCTTGCTTTACTTTTTTTTTTTTTTTTTTTTTGAAAGTTTCTATTTTTTGTTTTTTTTTTTTTTTTTTTTTTTTTTTTTTTGAAAGTTTCTACATCATAAGGACATATTCTTGAATCTTTATTATTGTAGGAAATAGCAGAAAATGCTTCTACAGTTTTCAATGTTCATGTAACTGAATTTGTTGACACTATTTGGGTTGCACTGAGGCATCCGACATTGGCAATTAGAGAGAAGGCCGTGGAGGCACTGCGTGCTTGCCTTCGAGTTATCGAGAAGCGTGAGACACGATGGCGTGTGCAGTGGTCAGTTATAATATGTTGATTTTACAGAAGTATATACATTTTGCATCCCGAAGTTGGTTTTTATGGTGGGTGAAAAGGGGCTCTCTTCAAAGGACCAAACTTGTCTAAAAAGATTTTCAAGTTTTTGGGGCTTTACCATATTGGCTTGTTAAATGGAGTAGTGTCATTTTGAATTTGCAAAATGGTTAGGGCCTTGAATGGTGCTTGTAATAGTAATTAGGTGGGGTTGTTTTCCAGCTTTAGGTGTCCAATGTTTATCAGGTATGTTAAAGAAGCGGTGATGATAGGAAGAATAAGAAGAAAAAAAAATACTTGGAAACTTAGAAAACACTTGTTGAAATTTCACCTGGACTTATGTTGTCGGGATGTCAGCATTGGTTACTATGTTACCTGATTGTCACAAGATATGCTATTGTAGGTGTAAAATGAGATTTTCTTTCTGCCACTTACCCGACTAGCATAAAGATTTTATTAGGACTTCCCATCAAATGTTCGCTGTAATGCACTATACTAAAACAAACAAGCTATATTTGTTCAGCATTCCATTTGTGTATCTTGTGTGTCAAAAAGATTTGATTGTGACTCTTTAAAGAGTCCTAACACAATTTGATCTAGGAGGCTTACTTTAATGTTTGAATATTACTCCTATAAAGTTTTGTTTTCTCCAATGCCTAATGAAGCAACAAAGCAGGCATTTGCTGTTGGGGTTCGTCTAGTAATAGGTCTTGTTACAAGGGGCACTAGGAACTAATTCCTACTGCATCTTTATTCGTTTAGATAAGGGAGGATACTTGGTGGATAACTGTTATAACTAAATATCTCACATTGCTTTTTCACTAGTTTGTTGGTTTTGGCTGCATGACATGACTTTCAAACTAGCAATTTTTCATCAAGCTTATCGAGTAAACAAGTCAGTTTGGTTGGGCATTTGGCAGGTATTATCGTCTGTTTGAGGCTACACAAGATGGATTGGGTAAAAATGCTCCTGTTCACAGCATACATGGTTCTTTACTTGCTGTTGGAGAGCTCTTAAGGTTGGTATAAATGGCTGCGTCTGTTATAGTGGAAATGTTTCTGACATGACCTTTTGATTTTTCTAGCTTGAATGAATTGTTGCAGTTGGTTTGTTTGCCTATTTTTTAGCTATCATGTTGCTTTAAGTTATATGTATTATGATTATTGCCCTAATATTTTTTTTTGGATGAAGTGTTGTTATGAGCTTAAAAACCAAGGCCCTTTCCCATGCTACTGACATTCAAAGCTAGCCAATATAAGTCTAGTCAACAGCAGTAGATCACAGACTGTTGCCTATGAGCAAACGAACGAAGCTTTTTATCCTTTTCCTATAACATATGCTTTATCAGTTACATGAAAAAAAGATAAATAAAAGAGGCAAACAATTATGCAAACATGCTCAAAAAACAGTTTCATGCAGTAACTTTGAAACAGGTTTTAGCAGACATGAATCATGAAAAATAATAAATTATGGGATTTAATGTTCAAGGCTTTCTTAGCTTTGTCATAGAAAATGTGATGGAAAACTTTCTCAGCCCATTTGGTGTTTGCTGAAAAACAACTTTTTTTCTTCCTCTATGCTATCCATTTTTCTGTACAAAATTTATATGATTTAGTACATAGATTGTATACATGCATGCATGCATACAAACACACACACGTGTGATATTAATGTATTCATGTAAATATATGTTTAACATGTATTATGGAAGAATAATGAAGTAGAATATCATTTTAAGTCTTACAAGTCTTACAAGTAATGTGTTTTCCTCCCTTTTAAACTGGAAAACACTTGGCTGCCAGCAAACCAAATGGCCCAACTTTCTAAACAAAATCCCATTCCTGCGAGCAACATACCAAACATTTAAGACATTACACTTAACTTCATATCAATCCTTACTACAATCATAATAGAAATGTTGATTATTTTGAGGTTGGTAGTCAGGGTTATTTTAGGGCATGATTATAGAAAAAACTAAAAGAGGAGCGTTTTTACTCAACAAAATTCACTATGCACACTCACAAATTACTATGGGTTCAAAAGGATTTTTTTTTCTCATTTTGGTCAGCGAACTTTTTTCTTCTTCTTTGTGATTGGATCCTTTTGTAGCTAAATTATTGACTAATTGCTTTTAATTTGTTGATGAATGAAAAGATTCAAACTTAGAGGACCAAAGTGAAAAACATGGGGAAACTAGGGGACAATTTCAAATTTGTTGTGAAAAGTTAACTTTGGTCCCCCTCCTTTCTAATTGACACAATTACAACTCCTTTGGTTTTTGAGAATTGACTTTTAGTCTAAAATTTTATTTTCTTTGCTTTTTAGTCTTTGATTTGAGAGAGGAGAGAGAGAGTAGTTGTATTCTGGTTGAAGAGAGAGAAAATTATTGGTGGCACCAATTCCAATTATGAAAAAAATCGATCTTGGTGTTCATGAGTTCCATTCAATACAAGAAGTTTCAAATGTGTGTAACTTGACCTTAACCTTACCTGAGATGACAAAATTGGGATGGGGAAGTTTTTTGAATTTTGGATGATTTTGGGTCTTTTTAACCAAGTTTTTGGTTATTCGAGGCTGTAAATAGGTTTATTAAGGTCTCCAGGGTGCCTTTAAGGTGTTTTTGGGTAAAAAACGTGTTGAAAAACAAGTTTTTGGGTATGAAATACCCTTACCAAGACTTTTTAGTGACCCTTTGGTCATCGAAATATAGGCCAATAGACGATGTGTTTTTGTTTTTTTAATTAAACGGTGGACGGTGCATTGTCCACTATATGATAAGAAAAATGCCTAGCGCACAGGCTAGGCCTCTTTCTAATGGTTCAGGTGCGTATGCCCATGCAGCTGGCTTGTTTTGTTTTTCTTTATTTTTTTGGTTTTTTTCTATATTTTACAATTGGGTCTGTTCAAATAGATTGGTTAAGAAGTAATTTTAATTTTTTTATTTGATAAAATTGATTTTTTAAATTTTTTATGAGATCATAATCTTTTTTTATTATTATATTAGCAAACATTTTTTTGTACAACTGTTCATGATTTTTTTCTCCTTTTTTTAAGAAAAATTATTTGATCGCTATTTTTTTTTTGTTGTTGTTGGATTAAATACCTTTTGATTTTTTGTTTATTTTTGAGAAAGTCCATAGCATTATTTTTTATAATATTAGTGGACACTCTTTTTGAAGCCCCTCACTATAGTTTTCATTTTATAAATTTTATTTGGTGTTTTCATGTGCATGTTAGCTTTTATTGTTGTGTAGTTGGATAAAAAAAGTTATAAAAAAATTAAGCTATCAAACCCACCCGGGTATGGGTAGAAATTTTTGTTTTTCTTCATATCAAACCGAGTTTAAAGTGGGTCACATCATGTCTCAATTTGAAACCCGACCTAGGTAAGGTTTATTGATCATGATTTTTTTTGTCTAATATATTGTTTTATTGAAATAAGATAACATTAATCTATAATTTTTCATGATAGCACGAAGCTTTACTGATGCCTCCATTTTTTTTTGTGTTGACAAAAAAATTGTTCTTTGCTAGTCCCCGTCTATATCCTATCTGGCACTTCATCAGGGCCAATGCCATCAAAGAGTAAATACTTGTAGCTGCTTTTGTTGAAAGAGCAATGCCAGCTTCATTTGTTAAATTTTAGTTCTGATTAAGAACTTTCAACTCTTTCATAAATTTTATGGTTTTATTATATATTCTTGCTTTGATAGAAATAGAATTGGAGAATTTGCAAGGAGATTCTTGGGACTGTAGCTGCACTTGATAAAATGTTGAATAGATTGATTTATTTCTCAGGACTGTAGGGCTTTGATATCGTGTAACCTGAATGGTATTTTTAAGCTCCACATGATTCTTTGTGATTCTATAACTGCTGGCAGTTTGATAAAGGTTGAATGGAAATGGCTACCATAATCTGGTTTCTTATAGCACCCAATGTTTCATGTAATTGAACATGATTTATGTAGGAATACTGGTGAGTTCATGATGTCAAGGTACAGAGAAGTTGCTGAGATTGTTCTTAGATACCTCGAGCATCGAGATCGACTTGTTCGCCTTAGCATAACTTCATTGCTACCTCGCATTGCCCACTTTCTGCGGGATAGATTTGTAACAAATTATTTAGAGGTTTGTGGTTTTCCCTGTCTCCTAAATCATATTGCAGCAGCCATGAAAAATAGCATTTTGGAACATAAAGCATCCCAGAACATAAACCATGATGAACAGCATCAAATTGTGATGTCTTGCAGATATGCATGAATCATATTCTTGCAGTGCTGAGAATACCAGCTGAGCGTGGAAGTGGCTTCATTGCCCTAGGGGAGATGGCTGGTGCTTTGGATGGGAAACTTGTCCATTATTTGCCGACAATTACAGCTCATTTACGTGATGCAGTGAGCAAGCCTCTATGTGGCTGACATTATTTTTCTCCAGTTATTTGGTTTTCTTTCTATGTCATGTTTTGCAGTTTGGGGTTTATTTGTGTTTTTCTGTTTTCTCTCTGTACCCTCCTTTTAGATTGCTCCACGCAGGGCCAAACCCTCACTTGAGGCATTGGTTTGTGTTGGAAACATTGCAAAAGCCATGGGGCCTGCTATGGAACCTTTTGTTCGCAGCCTTTTGGATGTTATGTTCTCCGCGGGGCTCTCTTCCACCCTTGTTGATGCCCTGGAGCAGATAAGTGTAAGGTGTTGCGCAGCGTTTAACCACTCCTTTCTTTCCTTCTTATAATGTTGTCCTTAAAAAATGCATAAGAGCTTAAAGTCTTCCATGCTATCACTTGCTGTTTCAGTATTCCATCATTGCTGCTGACTATTCAAGAGCGGCTGTTGGACTGCATTTCATTAGTTCTTTCAAAGTCCCATTATTCTCAGCCAAGGACAGCTGTTCCTCCAGTTCGAGGGGTTGTGGCTATTACACCTCAGCAAGTATCAGACCTCAATGGTTCTGCCCTGGTGCAACTTACTTTGCAGACACTAGCTCGATTTAATTTTAAGGTTGGTTAACATTATGTTTAAATGGAATCATATTGCACCTATGATTCTGCTCTGAAACTATTTTGTTTTCCAGGGGCATGAGCTTCTCGAGTTTGCTAGGGAATCAGTGCTTGTATATTTGGATGATGAAGATGGAGCTACCCGGAAAGATGCTGCACTTTGTTGTTGTAAATTAGTTGCAGATTCCTTTTCTGGTATGACATCTACACAGTTTGGTTCTATCAGGTCCAATCGTAATGGGGGAAAGCGATGGCGTCTTGTCGAGGAGGTTAAGTTTCCTCCATTTCCTATCTTTTGATGCTCTATTTTTGTTAAATGATGTTCTATGCTCCCATGTCAAAACCTTTTTGTTTGTTCCCATCATTTCTTTCCTGCCTGTATCCTCCAGTTTGCGTCTCCTCAGTTTATGCCATTTCTACAGCTGTTCATCAATTGTATGCTATATATAACACAAATCGACAGATTGGATACATATTTTAATGTGTCAGCCTCAAGTTTGCTTAAGCTCGTCAACTAGTTGAGATCTGTAATAAGATTGATTTATCATGTTCCACCAAAAAAAGGTTGAGTGTGGTAGACAGTGTGAGCTTTCTTTGTTCTTGTTTGTAATCTCACATTTTGCATCTGCAGCTTGTGGAAAAGCTTCTCATCGCTGCTGTCGCAGATGCTGATATCACTGTTCGCCGATCTATCTTTTCCTCTCTTCATGGAAATAGAGGTTTTGATAATTTTCTAGCACAAGCTGATAGTCTCACTGCAGTTTTTGCGGCTTTGAATGATGAGGTGTGTATGTGGCTCTTGGATTTATTACATCTGATGGAAGACTTTCATGGTTATGCTATATTATCGAGGCAGATGAATTTTTATCATCAATCAATCTGTAGTGGAAAGTGTATCTGATTTGAAAGTTGCCCTAGATTTTCCATGATGTAATTTTTTATTCTTTCGAAGTTCTATTTTTTGTATCCAATGGTACATCTTTTAACCGAATATTTAATCTGTTGGCATTGGAAACTCAGGATTAAATTGCACCACTCAATAAGATTTCACCTGTCATTGACATCTGCATACATGATTTTATCTTCATATTTAATTTTGGGCTCTTGTCTGATAATCTTCTGGTTTACTATCTATTTGATTACATGGCAAGACTGGTTGCTTCCTGTTTCTCACTTGTAATGCCTATTTTCTGGAAAGTACATGATGTCTTACTACTATTTCTGGTTTTAGTAGCTTGGTAAATGGATTACTCACTCTTCTATCTCTCCATCTCATGTGTTCTGAAGAATTTCACTGTGAGGTGCTTTTATTTTGATTTAGAATTCGGAATCTACAATTCTACTTCTGATCATGGTTTGTTGTTTATAAAACTGCTAGTTTGTGAAATTAAGCGAGAGTGGTTTTTTACAGTCAATAGAAAATGTATGGGAGAAATCCCTAAGAAGTTGCATCTTTTCATAGATACGGAAAAATCTAGGTACACTCCGACTCCAAGTTTCCCTTTTCCCTCCCTTTTCTGTTCTCGGTTTCAATATTAACCTTGTTTCTTTGCACACATATGTTTCAGTGAACCTAATGGACAGATTTTTTTTTACCTTTTTTCTGTCAATGGTGTTTGTTGTAATTTTATAGCCAAGACAGTCTTCTGATTTTCATCTTTTTTTTTTTGTCTGTAAGTGTAGATTCTGCTTATTTGAGTAAGGCTTTAGTTCTGATACTTCTCCTATTATCTTTCCCCTAAAAATAGCGTGTTGGCCATTATTTGGGCCTTTTATCTTGATAATCTTTGGTTTTAATTTGCATTACCCAGTTTCATAAGGTGCATATTTCTGTTGTTGAATGCTGTATGCCTGCATGTGAATTTTTCTGGTGTCCCATTCTTGTAATTTTTGTCAAAACGAGGATATTGCTGTTATCACAGGATTTTGACGTTAGAGAATATGCAATCTCCTTGGCTGGAAGACTATCAGAAAAGAATCCTGCTTATGTCCTTCCTGCACTCCGTCGTCATCTCATACAGCTCTTGACCTATCTAAAACAGAGGTGATGTCAGCAATTAGCTATTGTGCTATCGTATGAACTTGTATTACTTGCAAAAAATATGGTAATTTGGGTTGGAAGAGAACGAGGTCTCTCAACCAATCTAATCTGTAAAGGTGTCTGATATGGAACTTTCTTGTAATGTCAGCAGTGCAGATAACAAATGCAGAGAAGAAAGTGCAAAGTTATTAGGTTGTTTGATACGTAATTGTGAACGACTTGTGCTTCCATACATTGCTCCAATACACAAGGTTTGATATGTATGTTTTTGTTTATTCTGTTTTGTTCTTTTAGTTATCATACTTCTTGAGATATTGGATTTCCAATTGTGCAGGCACTTGTGGCAAGACTTAATGAAGGCACAGGAGTAAATGCCAATAATGGTATCATTAGTGGAGTTCTTGTAACTGTTGGAGATCTTGCTAGAGTGGTGGGTGAACTCTGATGTTATAAATTGTCTTGTTCTCTGGGAGGCAATTTATTTTTGTGTGTGGGGTTAGTGGGGAGGAATGTGTCATCGTGAATTGGGTTTTACATCTTTATTTGGAAAATCTTTGGATGTGAAGAATATAAATTGTTGATTGGGCTTGTCCTCAAGCACCTTAAGTTACGCTAATAAGTTTTTTCTGTTGCTTTCTCATTTCCATGGTGCTTGTTAACATTAAAATACTTAGAACTCTTCTTTTGGCACTTCCTGTTGCTGATATAAGTAAGAAACTTCAGCCTGCTTTTTAAGACTGCATCTGGTTGCTTCTCATGCTTTCCTTCGATGCACCACTGAAGTTTTAGTTGGACTAGGAATCAACTTCTTGCATGTACATTCTAGGACATTTGATTTCATACTTGTAACCTTGTAAAGCTTGAAGTCTATCTATGTGGTGCGTTTCTTTGCTAGAACAATAGACTAAGGGACATGCTGTATCAGCTATTTCTATATTTGTTTTTTTCCATGCATGTTTTTTTGCATCCTAGCCTGATCTACGTGCAACTGTCTAAAATATATTCTTTCTTGTTATGATGTGTAAATGGTTAATTATAATCGTGGTACTTGTTTAGGGTGGTTTTGCTATGAGGCAATATATTTCGGAGCTTATGCCTCTGATAGTTGAAGCTTTGCTAGATGGAGCAGCAGCTACAAAGCGTGAAGTGGCTGTTGCAACTCTTGGGCAAGTTGTTCAAAGCACTGGGTATGTGGCTTGTCATTTTGTTACTTTGATAAAGATTGTTGTTTTGTTTTTTATTCGGTGGTTTTATGTGAATTTTTATTAGTAATGCTGCATGTTAATTTTTTTTTCCATGGTTAATATCATGTCATTTTTTTCTTCTTTAAGTCAGGTTAGAGTATGGGATTTTTCTTCATTTTTACTTTTTCTGAAACTCAATGATTTCCATGTAATGCGGCAACAAAACTATCACAATACCTGCTTGTTATTTGGGATCATTTTAAGCTTGCTGTACTTTGCATGCTACAGATCATAAATAGTTTTCTTTCTTAATAAAACATCTTTTACATGAAAAATGTTGCGGTATTTTGACCATCTTAGATGACGCTCTTACTATTATATTTTTGACTCTTGATTAGAAATGTACGCAAGTGTTGGACTAGCATCACATTCTCAAGAACTGTTCATAAGGTCCCATATGGTCCTTCCTCTTCTCTTCCATATCTCTCCTTATTTAACCTCGAGGGAATAATATTATTGAGGAAAGTTGAACATATAAATTATGATTAGCCAGTCTTCTTCAATGAAGTAGGATTCCATTGTGAACAGTGTTGATGGGCTTTCCTTTTTCCTTCCTACTATCGACAACAAGGTCACATTGAAATAAATTTACTTTCACTTTTGGGATGTAGATAATATAAATTCTAAGGTATCTGTAGTCATTTATTACAATGTTTGTTTGTTTATATTTTATTTTATTTTTTATCATTAGTGCTTGAGTAGGTCCTCCTCTTTTTGCTGACAGGTATGTCATAACTCCATATAATGAGTATCCACAGTTACTTGGCTTACTCCTCAAATTTTTGAATGGTGAATTAGTGTGGTCTACCAGACGTGAAGTATTGAAGGTAGCTGCACGTCAACTAAAATATTTGGATATATCGTTCTAACTGTTTGATGCAAGGTTAACTTTTTAGCTCTCAGGTTCTTGGCATCATGGGAGCTCTGGATCCTCTTGTGCATAAACGAAACCAACAAAGCCTGCCTGGTTCACATGGTGAGGTTGCTCGTGCAGCCAGTGACTCAGGCCAACACATCCCATCAATGGATGAACTACCTATGGACTTTTGGCCATCTTTTGCTACATCAGAAGATTATTACCCAACGGTAGTACTGACACTATTTTGTCATTGTTTTCACTCTTCTTGGTGTTAATGTTCCTCTCTACTGAATTCAGGTTGCGATCAACTCCCTCATGCGAATTCTCAGAGATCCTTCACTTGCTAGCTACCACCAAAAGGTGGTAGGATCTCTTATGTTCATATTTAAGGTAAAATAGCATGGTATATTCCAGTTCTGTTCATTGACAAAAATGGCTAAACAATCTTAATTTATCTTGATGCCTAACACCATCAATTAATGTGGGAAATTTTTATGATCTGCGAGGTTAGTCAATGGGCCTTGGTTGTGTACCGTATATACCCAAGGTTAGTGAATCAATTTGCAGCTGTATTTATCCCTTTTGTTTTTTTCCTTGAAATATTATTTTTTCACTGGAAATTTTAGTATTTGTGAATGAATGAGTAATTCCCGCTGTTCATTGCTTGCCCTTGTTCTGATCTTAAACTTATGGACTCCTTTAATTACAAAGATCACCCGGTTACTATGTTGCATTGTTTCATTTTCTCTAGTTGTAGTCAGCTTTCTTCCACTCACATACCAAAAATGGAAAATTTTTAATTACACAAGTTCAAATTAGGAGGTTAAGAAAGAGTATTATTATTCTAAAGGTGATGTTATCTTTCCATGTTAATTTCTATGTTTGGTTTGGAACTAAAATGTTGGTAGATAACATATTTATATGTTGGAGGATTTAGTGTTTGCTTGGTATTTTGCATTTGCAAGCTGTATTTTTGTTTAGTATCCTGGAGAACATTTATTGTTTTAAACTTGTTTAACATGCGATCCCTTTTCCTATTTTATGTAGGTTTTGCCGGATCTCTTTCACACTGTTCGTACATGTGATGATTATCTTAAAGATTTTATAATGTGGAAGCTTGGAACTCTGGTATCTATTGTGCGCCAGGTGAGTTATGATTTCCTGAAGTGGTTGCACATAAATACTGCCTCTTGGTTTTTTGTCTTTTAATGATACATGGGGTTCTTGATTTGCTTGTGCAGCACATACGTAAATATCTGCCTGAATTGCTCTCTTTAATATCTGAATTGTGGTCATCCTTCAGCTTGCCAGCTACTATTCGCCCTTCTCGTGGGTTTCCAGTAAGTTATGTTTCTATTATTTGGTGTAGATGGAATAACCTGCATGTCATTTTTGGAGGCTGCTCGTGTATATTTTGGTCTCTTCCTCTTCCTCTCTTTCAAACATGCCCTTTTTTTCTTCTCAGGTTTTGCATTTAGTGGAACAACTTTGCTTGGCTCTCAATGATGAATTCAGAAGGCATCTTCCTGTCATTTTGCCAAGTTGTATTCAAGTTCTAAGCGATGCAGAAAGGTGTAATGACTATACCTATGTTCTCGATATACTTCACACGCTTGAAGTGTTTGGTGGTTAGTGCTCTGTTATTCGACACCTGTTTGTTTCATTCATTGACATATTACTAGCAACTATTGTGAAACATTGTAGTGTATTAATCAAGTGTAAGTGTATAAAGAATACAGAACCTTCTCTCTTCCATTTAGGAGTCTTGAATCTACTAGGAAGTTATATGGTAACACTTGGGTAATGTGCTCTTCTGTGTGCTAATGGTAAAATGTTGAGCAATGCAAATCATCTTTGGGTATGGACTATGGACAACATTAGTTTCATTGTGTAGTTGTTTTATGAAGGAAATTGGCATTTTTTGATGCATACATCAAAGAACTCCATACTGGTTTCTCATTCCGCTTGGAATACTTTTAGAGTGGATGTTGCCATGGATATTTAACATTCTGTTTTACAAAGTGCCATACTTGAAAGATCTTCTGAGTTCCAGCCTGTAGAGAATTTCTCATCATGCTTGCACAATGTAGGGACACTGGACGAGCATATGCATCTACTTCTTCCTGCACTTATTCGATTGTTTAAAGTGGATGCATCTGTGGATATAAGGCGGGCCGCTATCAAAACTTTGACGAGATTGATCCCCTGTGTACAGGTGAGTTCTTGGCTTATAAAATCTCTCCTGTTTCCAGCATTAAAATGGACTGCTAATGGTCATTGCTTCATGCTATCATGATAAGATCCAGAGGTGTTCTGTATATTAGTCATATTGTCATAGTAGTTAAAATGTTTTTCCATAAATGGAAGAAAAACAGATCTCTTGATATATTGTAATGCTGTGTAACCAAACACATGCTAGCATGTGTACAGACACCAATGTATATGCACATGCAGTTGTGGATTCCTATGGCTAACTGACAGGTTTTTTTATTTTATTTTCATCAGGTTACTGGTCACATTTCTTCTCTTGTGCATCACCTGAAGTTAGTGTTGGATGGGTGGGTTTCTACTTCTACTTTCTATATAGAAAACCTTCTTCGGTTCCTGCTATTGTGTCTGTGTATGTATTCATGGATGTCTGTTAAATTCAAACATGATCCTCTTCGTCCATTTCTCCTTACCTGTTCATTTTCTGTTTGTCATGAAATGTTTGCCAAACTAGTTGAACTAAACTTTATAAAGCTTAACTGTTATCTTATCTACCTTTCTTTTATTGATTCTCCTGTACAACCAACATATTTGATTGGTTTCTGTTGCATGGAAGTCTCTTCTGTTTTTCCTGGTTATAAGGTATGTCTTGAATGGTGTTAATTGCATGGAAGTCTCTTCTGTTTTTCCTGGTTATAAGGAAATATCTTGGTGAAAGATATTTCCTCCTCTCTCTCTTGTTTTGTTTTTGTTTTTTTGTTTTTTTTTTTTTTTTTTTTG